GTTGTTGCAGGCGCATGCTCTTCGTGGAGAAGGATTTTGCGGATGTACAGTCGTGTGTCGAAGAAGCGTGCACAGAGTGTGGCTTTCCCGTGCTGTTCCTACCGAAGTTCCACCCGGAGTTGAACCCGATCGAGCAGTGCTGGGGCTATGCGAAGCGTAAGTATCGCAACTATCCCGCATCATCAAAGGAAGCCGACCTCGAGCGCAACATTTGGACAGCTCTGAAGACCGTCCCAATCGAGTCAATTCGGCGGTGCGGCTACTCTGTGCTCCCTCCTCTGGAAACAATCACTCACATGGTTCTTTTCATTTGCCAGCTTCACAACACGCTCCTTTTGCTTCATGGATGCCTACCACAAGGGATTGAACGGCCAACAAGCTGCATATGCCGGCAAGAAGTACAGGGGTCACCGTGTGATCCCAGAGTTGATCTTCGCTGATCTAGAGAAAGCGAAGCTACAGTAGATCATGACATTGTTGGACGTATTTACTGTACAGTCTACGTGTTTCTAAGGTGTACGGAAATCTTATTCAGGGCCTACCCGGTGTTGTCTACAGTTGCGGAGCTGCCACCTTCACCGATTTCCTGTTTCGGAAGCGCCACTTCACGTGCACGTTGCGAAGCGCTGGATGGACAGGGTATGGCTGCGGCCTATCTTATGTTCTTTTGATGGATTCTGTCTGGACTCATCTTGTGACTCGCTCCAGACCGATCTACACTGTTCCAGACTTATTCTGGATCATTCCACTCCCTTCCGGCATATTCCATGACCTTCCAGTACATTCCTTGATCACATGGACACTTATGCATATCCCTATCTCTGGAGTTAAGGCTTACTCATTTCCCTAAAAACTCAGACTTAGTGATTACTGAGTCTAGCTCGCTGTCTGACTGATCACTGGCAATGCCGTTGACACACTGACTGCAAATCATTCTTGAACAGTGGCTTTTTTCTGAACAAGACTGACTCACCTGATACATCCCCAAAGGTATGTCTTGAGGTTGCAGTAATAGTCAGGCACATTCTCTTTCATGGCCTCCAGTATTGTCATGAGGCTATCCCACCTAGGCTCATGGTCATCAGTGATGTAAGTTGAGGGATGTCAGCTACTACATGGTATTCACACAATTCATAGGTAATTGGTAAGCATCACAGGAAACGCAAACAATGTAAAAGAATGAGTGAGGCATGTGATTTTTATTGTGCTTTGTTGAATGGTGCCATATTTATATGAAAGTATGGGAAGGCATACTATGTACAGACTCTATGACACATCATATATGTGTCCGAGAATATACCCAATCAGGTTTTTTTCATTTTTGGGAGGCCACAGCACAGCAAATACAGTGTCACTGATGAGCTTGTGGCTGGCATTCAAGCTCAACTCCAAAGTTTGGCAGCCTGCATGTTCAGGGCCTGTTGAGCCGTTGAACTAAACACAACAGCTTAGGATCCTGTTTGGAGTTGCCAGTTCCTGACAATTCCAGGTGGTACTGGTGGTTACAAGACATACAAAGACTCACTGAAAGAGTGGCTTATATCAGGCCATGCATGGGAAACTCTGCACTACCATAGGTTTTTTGCCACATGCAAGCCTCAATAGTGAGCACAATATGAATGTATAGTGCTTCTGGATTTTTCTCTGATTTTCCTGCTATTTATTCAGTACTGCAGAGGCCATCAATGGCCAACTTCCTAAATGGGCAGGAGACTAACCATATATGGCAGGTTTCCATGTCTGCTTCAAAGACTCCCCTCATACCTGTGGAGCTCTCTAGTAAACATGCTTACCAAGATCTGCTCATATGCCTCAGTATCACTTCTCATGGTCAGTACTCTCAAAGATACCTAATATGGACACCCCATCGGTATCCATGAAGCATCCCATGGAGAAGGAATATTTGGGTATTTATTTGGGTATTCTTGCACATTTAATGGGGCTCTAGTAAGAGCTCAGTTAGTGTGGCTGAAAGCCATCAAAAAGCTCGGCATGAGCAGCTGAGATTGAAAGATTACTTTAAGGGCAACATTTGTCAGCATTCCAGCCAATGGGAGTGCTCATAAATCCCTTTTGAGTGACTGGAGTCGTCAACAGGCTGGAATTCCGGCCTGTTGACGACTCCGCTTCGGCAACAGGCGCTTAATTGAGCGCTTAGTAAGTGATGTAAGTGTATACTGTTTCTGACTTGTTTGGGGCTCAGAAAAGTCCCAGAAAATCGGATAATGTTCTAGGAGATCTGTGGAATATCCTAAGCATATTCAAGTAGAGGGAACCTCAATACATGGTCATTCAGTTGTGGGAAATCAACACAGGCATGTTATGACAATATTTCCCCATTCATAGCAGTGCTGTGCACATTCCAGACACACTCATGCTGTGTGGACTATGTGCATGGTCTATACAGGTCATATCAAATGTGTTTCAGAGACAACAACCTATTCATATTTGGGATCACTTTGCAATTGTCCACAGAGGTTCTCTTTCTAGATTATGAATATATAGGCAAGGCATGCTAGTTATAGACTCTGAGGGCTCTATACAGGATCAATTTCTTACATACAGCAGGCATCATGGATGAATTCAATTGTACATAATATTCCCAGATTTATCAACATTTTCTGAGCCCAGACTGAGCAGCTGAATGGAAACTGCCATTTTTGGAAGGCTAGCTTCCCTATATAGCAGATCCCAGATGGGCAGTCTACAGGCTTTGATAGTGTCACTTTGAAGGTTACAAGCAATGCACTCATGTGTACAGAGGCATATGTGGGTTTTTGAGTTTTGTGAATTGTGCCATAACCACTGAAGTTGATGGGCAAGTCACAGCAGCTACAGACTCTATGACATCATACCTATCAGAGAGAATATTTCGGAGATTTGTTGTATTTGTGAAGGCTACAGTACAGCAGATACATGGACTTGAGAGTCTTTGGCCAAATACAGTAAGGCCAGTCAGAGGCTAATTCCCTTAAACAGCATATTTCAGTGGAGTCTGGGAGACTACACTGCAAGATGACTCGTCCACAGGTCACAATTTTGACCTGTGGACGAGTGAACCTCACATGGCATGTGGCTGAGCCTATTGCACCAGAATCTGTGTTTCTGCTATCCCTTTCCATCTCATCCACAAGTACTCAGCATCACACATAAGTCCTATCAACCCACAATGGGACAATAGTGTTATCTAATATTCTGCTCATTTTCCGGCCATTTATGCAACACTGTAAAGGTGATCTATCATCAACTTCCCAAACAGGCAAGGGATCTACCATATATGGTGATTTTTCATATCTGGTAGCCATAGACCCCTGCATAAGATTGTCAGCCTGTAGGACTCTCCAGTAAGGGCAGTAAATGCAAAACAACATTTGTACTCTGCATCACTTGCATTGGTCAGTACACTGTGAACAAGCACTGGGATACCTAATTTGGACCTCCATAAATGTGTGCAAGGAGCATTGCATGAGAGTCAATATTCCGAGATTTCTCCACATTTAATGTGCTCTAGTAAGAGTCTAGACAGTGCTGCTGACCACATTGGGCAAGCCATCAAAAAACTCGGCATGGGGAGCTGAGATTGAATGATTCCCTTAGAAGGCAAGGTTTGCCAGTGGTTCAACCAATGACATTGCTCCAAAATCCCTTTTGGGTGAGCTCAGTTGCCGACAAATGCAGGGCTGCAGTTGTATACAAGTCTGCTTCGGCAACGGGCGCTTAATGAGAACTTAGTAAGCAGTGTAAGTGCAGACTGTTACTGTGTTCAAGAGGGCTTGTATAGACTTGAAAAAGCGGAATATTCAGAATGAATGAGGTCAAATCCTTATAGCCTTCCATGATACAATTGTTGCATCAACTAGGGCAGTATACTCAATAACATGGTGAGATTCACATTCAGTGAGCTCATATAAGCCTATGATCACACTTCAGACAGTGTCTCTGCAGCATACAAAGCCTGACGTCATAGTAGCATGAACACATATGTATCGATGGCCATTATATATCCCCAGATTGTGTCTATGTGTCTATATGCCAGTTACACACCACAACTACCATATAGAGTAGGTGTCCTGCCCAAAGAGGAAGTAGGACAAGATGTGGTGCCCATGGAGCTCACAAAAATGCAGAAAATCTGTCAAATATACAGAAGCACCCAATAGGAGAATGTGAGTGCTTGGGATTATTCTAGACATCACTACACCATGTACATGGACTACAACATGTGAAAACAGGGTCAAATGGCTCATTGTGGCTGATTTTGGCTGTAGTGCAGCACCCACTGAGTTGTACAGTGTCTGAATCACATATGTATGTCATCACAGACATATGGAACACATCTGAGGCACAAATAGGCACTTTGACATCTGCAGAGGCACATGTGGATCTTTTTATTTTGCATTTTCTGGACCAGCCAGCCACTCTAGCTACTCAATAATGATAGTGTATACTCTCTGAATGAAGGGCTATCAGATCAGTATACTAAGTCCATTCAAAATTGTTACTAACTAGGGCTATGGGGCAGTATATAAGTGTGAGCACTAGCAGTGAGCTGCCTGGCTGCCAGTCACATGACATGCTCACCAGTTGCCATATTGGGTGCCACTCGAAGCATTTCTTGGGCCCTCACCCCAGGACAAAGCACTGAGCCACAGCATTTGTTTGGTGGTGTTAGTGCAAGTCACGTCGTCTGGGAGTCTGAAAATTTTGAACTCCGCTAACTGACCATAACAAATGTTAACTATACATGGTAAGCTGGGGGCAAATGACTGTACCTGTGGGAAAAAACTGCCGCATCGGGTGCCACTGGAAGTGTTTCAGGCCCATCCATCATAAGAATGATACATTCGTACCTCAGGGATCGTAACTATCCAGTGTTGAGTGGGACACCCTCAAGGGCTTCATCACCGTCCAGCAGGTCTTAGCCCGTTATTTTAGGTCAGTTTGATGCTTATGAGTGTTTTCATTCTTTGCTCACCTTACATCCACACTTCTCATACAACATGATGAACGGAGAGCTGAGAACGGGCTCTCCCACCTCTCTTCATCAACATTGTGCCAGCGGAATCAATGCGGTCATTGTTGATGACATCATGAAGCCATTTGATGCACTCCACCCTTTGAAGCACTTGCTCATCCTGGCCGTCGAGGGGCACATCCACATCGATGGGAACTCAATATGCATACCTGATTGCTGCTCAGCAAGAAAGGTGCGTGTGAAGCATCTTCAAGCCAGCCCGGACTTCAATGTTGACATGTCCATTTCTGAGTCCTGCCATTGGCAGACGTGGCAGGACGGGACTGACCAGGTAGGTACCCCACACTACAGTAACACCTTTAGCTGACCCCTAGAACCGGAAGCTACTGCACTTCATGGTTGTCAACGGTGCAGAGGCAGCTGAGGAGGCCCCTTGGCCCCAGAGGTTGACCCACGCAGAGGCTAGAACACCCTTGCTGCCCTTGTCCCCTCTTTCTGATCTCACCCCTTTGCCCCCCAAGAGGTGCAACAACGTAGCATCATCTCCCCTCTCCCATCTCAGCACACCCTCCTCCCCTGGCGTGTCAGACACTGCCTCTCCTCCATGGCCTGGACCTTCAGCCACCTCGTCGGCAGGTGCTCGCCCCCAGCAGCCAGAAGACCAGCAACTCAGCGATCAAATCTTCATGCTGGTTACAATCAAGGAGAAGGACCCGAGAACCATGAGGCTGCCATGCCACTCGTACGGGCTGGAAGAGCTCTGGGAGCTTCTGTGCCCGGATGGTTGCGTCACAGGAGGCTATGCGTACGGAGACAAAGTCGTGGTTGGCAAGATCAAATCCTATCTCATGGCCTTCTATCCAGAGGATGACTACGAAACACTCTACTACCTGCGACACGGCCTGCTGTTGGCCTTCGTGGAGAAGGGCTTAGCCATGGTGAGTACCAATGCCCATCTTACTCACCTGAAATTCTGACGCAGAGTTAGGTCATTTGCACGGACTCAGACAACCTCAACCTCAAAGAGCAAGCGGAGTTTGAGAAGTTCCTGGCCCACTACCGCAAGACCATGGGGTGCATACGACAGAAGATGTATAAGCAAACAATGGCCGTCTCCTCCATGACCGGTGAACACACCAAGGAGGAATTAGCGATGATGGCAAAGGTGGAGGTGGAGCACCAAGTAGATTGGCAACATCCTCCCATTCCAGACCCTACGGAATGCATGCTCATGGTACTCCAGCACGGTGCTCAGCAGCTGGCAGAGGAGCAACACAACAAACACCATGTTCTGCCCTCGAAGGAACACGGCCGCTACACCAAGGCTTTGGGCCAGGCTATAATCGATATGTTTGGCTTGGTCAAGCGTAGACTCCTCAAAGGAGAGTACACTGAGGCCAAGATGGAGTTCAAGAAAGCTCGCCTGTCCATCCACATACCCGTCCCTAAAGTCTCCCCTCCCCGCGACCTCGTCAGCCCCAGCGAGATGGACGTGTTCGCCCAGCTGAGCACCCCTCGCAACAGCAGCGAGGACGAGTGCAAGGACAGGAAGAACAACCCGAGCTACCTGTCACCGCGGCCTCTGCAGCGGTCAAGGTCGAGGAAAGGGCAGCGCGCTGGCTAACGAGTATCCCGCGAGTAGGTTGCAAGTACGCCTTCAGTTCTCAAAGTATTCTATCCTGTCTTGTCTACGCATCCTTGTGGTCCGCTCGCCATTGGTTACTATCCATCGTGTACAGTATGGAATATTCAAGCAGACCTCGGTTATGTCATATTATTTTGGTGCTAACGACTCGAGGGTCTGCACCATCGCTCAGAACCTTGCGCCTTATGCTCTTGAAGTCGTCCATTGCAATCACATGGAACTCACCCAAGAAGAGCAACGTGCCCTGGCGGCCCTTCTTGCCTCAATCGAGGACCTTGATACCCCTCTTCAAGAACTCTTGAAACACCTTCAAAGTCAACCTGGTGGCGCTGCTTCCAACACAGTGATGCGACCGAAAAGAACACTAAAGCCACACAAAAACCCAACCGTGAGGTCGAGCAGTGGTATGCGAGGCCTCTGTGTCTATGAGATGTACGGGGGACTGCATCAGCAAATCAGGCAATTTCTGAGCTTCTGGGAGACTGACGGAGACCCCTCAGAGTGGCTCAGAGCACCAGATAGCTCAGATTCTCCAGAGTAGTTCAGACTTGTCAGATAGTTCAATGAGCCAACGTGGGTGTAGGACTGTCCCATATAATCAAACATCTATTCAATAATTATGGTAGCCACAGAGTCACCACTTGTATATCGATGACTCGAGAGCATTGTACGTAGAGAATACATGGTGAGTAACTACACTAAAGCAGATGGTCGCCATCGACACAGGCTCACGAGTCGAACCATATATTCGCACCAGCTGTCCCGCCCACATTGTCTGCCGCCTCGCTCGTGTCTCGCCGTCTCACCAATGACCTCTGCTGACTCGCCCGCCCCATGTACCCTCTCTCAACCCGTCTGCCGTCTCGTCTGCACCATCTGCCATCTTGGCCACCCCATATACTCATTTGCTATCCTACTCGCATGGACCGGCGGGACCCGCATATCATCTTTCATCAGCTACCGCCTTCACACTGGCCGCGAATGGTCACCGGATGAGCGTGCGGGCCGGCACGTTTGCGAGTCGGCAGTGCATACCGTGCAGGAATTCGTATACGTTCGCTGGCGATGGGGCGAGGGCGGAGCAGTGTTTGACTCGGATGACTGGCGGGTAGGTGTAGGCAGAGTCATTCAGCGCCGCGAGGTCAAAGGACACAACGTGGGCTGTGATGTTCGCGAGCCGATTGCTAGGCTAGTGGTTCACGCGTAGCTGGTCGAAATGTGGTGGGCGGCGTCGTGGTTAACCGTGAGACGTCGCACAGTGGGAGGTAGTGTACGGGCACGCACGCAGCCGTCAGCAGAGCCTGTGAGACGAACTTTGTGAGTAGATAAAGATGGTTGTTGATACTCGTACGTACCTTCGTTCAACTTGTCCTATCGTGTGTTGAGCGCGGCAGTAGGTGTGAGAGAAGTCATGTCGGGAGCGATGTGCAGGGGCTCGCCATGAACACTGTGGCAGTCTTGAAGCTCTCTTCGAAGTCGTCCTCCTCCTCAGTTGAACTGACCTCCTTGCGCGCAGTGACTATGTCTCGTGCGAGGTCCTGCACGGTGACATCCTCGTCGAACATCTGGGGTCATCCCACTCGACGGTAGCACCGAGGCTACCTTGCGCAATGCCGCCCGCACGCCTCCCGCCCGCGCCCGTCCCCACCCTCCGCTCGTCGCTGTGGCCGTGCCCACAGTGAGGATTGGGGTAGTCTGGAACGAAGACATATCGGGCAATGGGGAGGTGGGGATCCTGGGCGTGTGTGGATGGGAGGAGAAGACTCACGCGAGCGGGACGGCAGGCGAGAGGGACGACGGGCGAGCGGGACAGTGGGCGAGAGGGTGAGAGATGGTAGGCGAGCGAGAGAGATGGTGGGCGAGCGAGAGAGATGGCGGGCGAGCGGGTGGGCGAGCGGGCGGGCGAACGAGTAAGTGGCAGGCAAGGGAATGCACGAATCACTCACCTGTGCTATCCATCCATGGCCTGTCTCCTCCAAATTTGTGGTGCCCTCGCTTCTCCGTCGTGTTCCGCGTGTGTCTTGCATGATGCTACCGCGCAGTGTGAAGATGAGTCGACGCTGACGCGGACGGTGGAGGAGGAGGAGCTCGCGAGAAGTGCTAAGCGCCTCAGCCACGACATGTCACGCGCGCTCGCTGGACTTCGACTCTCCAGTCTTCTTCACTGTCAGCCCGCTCCTCCCTGTTTGCTTCGCCCTCGCTTGCTCACCGCCGACCTTGACTACATACCTGTGGACCCGTCCGCAAGAGACGGTGCGTGAATCGGACCACTACGCGGCTCAAGATCGCGCTGTGCGCGACTGCAACGAGCCCCAGCGTCGCGCCAAGAGCCTCGCTGGAGGCTCGCGAAGGGCTGACATGCAGGGAGGAATGCGGGCTGCGGCCAGCAGGGCCAGCGAGTCAGGTGAGTACACCGTTTTTCACCTCAACTCCGAGAATGCCCACCAAGGACAAGTGGATGGAGTCGAACCCAACGGAGACAGCCCCGGTGCACGTTTGCCCAACGAGCACAAGCGCATACGGATACGACGCGCACTGGTACGACAAGAACAGCTCGTCGCACACCCGCTCGCCTTCTGTCTCGCTCACCCACTATTCCACTCGCCTGCCGTTTCACGCGCCCGCCGCTCTCCTCGCCTGTTGTCGAACCCGCGGTCGCTCTCCTCGCCCGCCGTCCTGCTCGCCTGCCCGTCCTGCGCCCACTGTCTCGCTCTCCCTGTCCTCCCTCTCACTTGTGTCCCTCTCGCTGCCCTATCTACCTACCATGTTGCTCACCTACCGTCCCACTCGCCCATACGAGCCCGCGCATAACCCGTTGACCCGCGCAGCACCCGTAGCCGCTGTGGCGGGTCTGTACCGGGGCGGGTATGGGCCCGGGTCGAGCCTGTATATAGCCGTGCTCGGCCCTTCTTGTCATGCGCAAGCTCAAGAAGGATATATCCTTCGAGCGCGAGCGTGGCAAGGAGCATGGCCTGCCCGCTACTAATATACTTACACCAGCCTGACGAACTCGAGCCGAGCGAGTGCAAGCCCGCCCTGTGCCACTCCGTGCAAGTCTGCCGAGCAATGGCCCACGAGCGCGTGCAAGCCTGGTGCGTGCAAGCCCGACAGATGGTCGACACGCACGTTCCTCATCCCGCGGACGCTGCGCCACCTCGACGTGCAGCACTGGGACGAGGTGTACGGTCCGAAGTATGAGATACTGACAAAGATAAAGTGTGAGTAACTGTGAACCCTGACGGTGCGCGACCAGCTGACGACACAAGCCAGTTGGCAACAGTTATGCGCCGGACGAGCCTCAACATACCGCGCACAGACTCACTAGCATCGAAGACTTGGCCGCTTACGGATGCGGATCACGAACCGCGCACTGGTACGATGCGGGCCAGGTTGCCATACATGATGTGCCCAAGCCCGGTACCACACAGTTTAACGAGCAGCACTACGACAGGCAACAGTCCACCAGGCATCTGGTGCGCCCAGCTCGACGCGCATATGCCCGTGAAGGATGCGCGTGCCGCGCCTCAGCCCGAGAAGGAGCTAAGCTGCCGAGTACGAATACAACGAGTAGGAGGAGTGAATCCGCCATGCATATTCACCGGGCAGATGGTTGCTCGTACAAGTGTACGATACATAATGATTAGCAAGTGCTATTTTGTACGGTAGTAGCAATCAATAGAATATGATTGGATCGATTTCTATGACCTGTCTGATCTGACTGATGAGCTGGGTAGTCTGACAGGCTGTCTGAACACTCTGAAAATCCTGTCTGACGAGTTAGCATCGAAAAAATCCGAGGTCATGAGGGCTGAAAATCTGAAGCAATCTGGGGCAATCTGAAGGCTTCTGAAGGCTTCTGAAGCCCCTGACAGGGCCGTCAGACAGATTGCATGATTTCCTGATGTGTACAGTGGTCTAGGTAAGAAGGAGGAGGACGGACAAGACTCCGAACGACGTGGGAGAGCTTCGAAGATGTCGGAGACTGTTCGAAGACGAGGGCTAAGCCTCAAAGGTAGGAGGGAGAGTTTCGACAAACGTGTCAAACGAACGGCGACAAGGAAGGCGAGCGACGGCAGGAAGAGAAGTGTAGAGCCTCTCGGGGCAACTACAAGCTGGCGAACGTACTGGCGAACTGACTGACTGACTTTGAGCATACTGACTGACTGGCGAACTGGCTGACTTCAAACGTACTGGCTGACTGATGAACCTCGCCGGTGCGAGGTGAGATTGAGAGGGTAAGGGGGTCTCTGAGATTCGAAGGGAACAAGCCCCAGAGTATATACAGGAAAATATGGCCCAAAGACCAAGAGAGCCAAGTGAAATCCAAGAAATGATGAAGGAGAGTGATAAGGAAAACAGCCAATCGGAGAGTGTCACAACGCTTGACCCGGACCTACTAACACATGAGAGAATCCAACTCGGCCTTCCGCAGGTTCCGAATAACGGACGACCGTCCCCGAACGGCGAAGGTCATAACCGGAGCCGGTGACAGTCCTCGAAGATATGAGACAGCCGCAGGAGTTCGCCTGACCTACACGAACATGCCTCACCTCGACCCAACTTCCGAAGCGTATGCTGCCCGCTACTACCGTCTCCTAGAGGTCCTCAAGACCGAGGGACTTGTCGAGCCGCGATACGATGCCAACAGTCCCGGAGAGTGGCTGGCTTGGGCCCACGGAGTCCGTTGGATGATTGTACGTGCCTCCGAACTTTGACTGTACTCCGAACCATCGAACCGACCTTCGAACAGCGCTTCTTGTTCGAGTCCCGTAGCCAGGCCATCCTGCTGGCAAACGATACACTTCCTGCTCCTAGGTCGTTCCCCGAGATCGACGAGTTGATGCGTTACCTCAACGAGGTCTTTCACCGCGATGGCAACCAGGGAGATATCCTAGGTTCGCCCTACCCTACGATCGCCTGGTCCGAGACCTTGGTGCTGCTCGAACAAGTCAACCAGGCCGAGCGTCGTCCTCTCGCGAACCTGCAGTATCAGCGCGAGTCGTTGATCCTGTCCGACTTTCGCCAGCTGCCCGACAACCTCGAGTCCATGGGTCAAGCGATTCACAACATCGCAGTCGACCAGCACCGCATGCACGGCACCCTCATCGGGTTGCTCGAAAGCCTGCTCGAGCGCGTCAACACTGACCGTGGCTTCGACACCGGTCCGTCTGTTCGTAGGGGTAGGGGTGGTGGTCATGGGTGTGGAGGTCGAGGACATAGATACGAGAGTTGCCGAGGCCGTCACTAGTTAGTTTGACCTAGCCGTGTACTTGCCCGTAGTCCTACCAATGTAGTGACTCTTCTAAACCGTGTGACTTCGCCGCTAAGGGTTCCGAACATTGACGCTTGAGCTTCGAACATCGGGCGGTTCCCTCGAACGGACGGATAGCGCGTCGACCATACGGACTTAGTGTACTGTCGTACCGACCGTAATTCGCGTTTTCGGTGGGTAGGTGAGCTAAGGGCTCATCAATGGTCCTCCTGAGTCCCCCAAGCCTTCCCCGACCCACAGTGTCAGACGCCAGTAGTTCTACGATGATTGCTGGCTGGCTCAAACTCGAGCCTTCCACAACTAACGGAGGTAAGTAGTGTTGACTATCATACCCTAACACTGTCACATTGAAGTGACTGAACGTGTAGCAGACCACGGAGAGGAGGAGTGCCGCGAATCTCAAGTCAGCCCTGTATGGGCGACGCACTCTTCACAGCGCATACGGGTACAGGCCACCCGGAACGTGCCATATTCAAGTCCAGGTCTTCAGGGCGGACACCCTCACAAACCCATTGGCTGCCCTCGAGGAGGGATCCAATTTGTGCTGGAAGGCGCTACATCAAGCCGCAGGAAGGCCTCGGGATGGGACACACTGTCCACTCCTGCGCAAGTGGCTACCAGCTCTGTATCATCATTCCTCATGCATCTCACCTCCAACCTTCCGCTCGAGCAGGTCCTTGAAACAGCATCGGTGATCCGGCGAACGGCACCTGCCCTTGAGGGTACCACATTCCAGCCGGGCGAGTCATTTCCCGTACTAGCAGCTCGATGTGCATTGAGCCTCACCCTCGACGCTGCCGTGTCTTTCTGGACCATGGTGAACTTCATACAGCTGGCTTTCCGAGTATCAAGGTGAGTACCATTGATCTGTGTCTGACTCAAGCATAACATCGACATCAGTGAGCTTCGGAGGAACAAGCAACAAACCGTGGCCAGAATATGGTGTCACAAGCTCAAAGACATCAAGAAGGGCCCTAAGCCTAAGAAGAGAACATTTCAAGGCTGGTGTTCCAAGGGCGTGAAGTTTGCTCGTGTTGCCGGCGGAGGTATGTACTGTCTGCGTACTGTTGACTTAAACAACTTACAACTCTGGTGTTAGGTTCAATATACATCTTGGTATTAATTGCCCTACAAGGCCTGAGAAAGCCCTTTGGGGATTGCGACAGACACTTGGCAGAGGCCGTGGGCAACATGCTCAGATGCCCAGATGGTCAGTCCGTCATCCGATACGTCGGCTGATGTTATAGCTAAACCCGGTGTTCAGATTCAGCAACTGGACAGATTATAACCAACATCATTGTCCCCTACATGGTGCAGCTTAGACAGCAGTGTCCGTTGGCCATAGAAGTAGGTGGGGGTACTCGCACTCAAGACCAGCGAACTTGTGCGCTACTCATAGACCTGGACACCTCTGACAAGGACTTCAACTCACTGCGAACAAAGTGAGTCCAAATTCTCTGTATGTAATCTCTCAAACCCTCATCCTTTCTCATGTCACAGCACTTTCCGTCTTCTGCCAAGGTTGAAGGCGAAATGGCACCCCTGCTACGATCCAGTTGCGGCAACAGAGACAGCGGACATGGTGAATGCACTTGCCGTGCAGGCTGCCTCCCTTGCCAGCCCGTCCGGGTCAACACTGACAACGTCAGTGCACCAGATTCAGAGCCAGGGCTGAGCGACCGCCAGAGCCAGACGACTCTGCAAGATACCTCTGAGGACATTGTCGAGACGTCGTATGACACTCAACATCCTCGTAACCTGGTCTTCCCAGCCCCGCGGGGCGATCACGCCCACAATGTTGCTTGGACCAAAACTGTGCGCTGCCAAGCAACCAACACATCCAAACCTGACGATCTCAGGGAGTTACGCTCGCAGGTACACATTGTGTTGTCTCGTTCTTAGGCAGACGACCTGCTGAAATTGCGGCTGCGTCTAGTTAGATGCACAATACTCCAAAGGCTGTAAGTCTTGTTGAAGTGAAAGAGATTTAGAAGGGCTGTAAAGCCAGTGGAAGTGAAGGACTAGTAGATGGAGTGAACAGACCTATCCCAGAGGGAAGACTCTGATGCTAGGCAGGCAGAAGAGAGGAGAGATTGTTATCCATTAGGGGGAATCACCCCAGTATATATACATGTCTGGGACTGATCACATGCTACATCAGTAAGCAGATCAGTAATCACTAAGTCCGAGTTTTAGGGAAATGAGTAAGCCTTAACTCCAGAGATAGGGATATGCATAAGTGTCCATGTGATCAAGGAATGTACTGGAAGGTCATGGAACATGCCGGAAGGGAGTGGAATGATCCAGAATAAGTCTGGAACAGTGTAGATCGGTCTGGAGCGAGTCACAAGATGAGTCCAGACAGTGTCCGTCAAAAGAATGTATGTAATACTACATCGCAGAACACAAGTCCATATATGTACATAACTGATAAGATAAGATAAGATAACACTGGAAAGTCGGAAGTTCAACAAGTCTGACACAGCCAGCTACATGCACATGCCATTAGAGTGCGTCGGGTGAGTTCCAAACTGTACTTTCATATGTTTCACTATGTTGTGGCTAACTCACGTCATTCACAGAGACGTGCTCACAATCAGGGGTGCCAACCACGAGCTAGTTGTCTGTGTGTGCACCTCAATGCCCGATATTGAGGTGGGACCGTGACACGGGCGCTTGTGGTGACACAGACATGTGACTAGCGAATGGACTGTAACGGACACGGTTAGTGTACTGCTACCTCAGTCAAGTACCACGAGGTCGAGACTGAGGTAAGCTCATTTGTAGTGTTTTCTCATGGACTCTGAGCACTCATACTGTATTTCATAGACTGTGTAACCTTAATAGGTAGAGTAATAACGAGTCGAGTACCACGAGGTCGAGACTGAGACTGTGTAACCTTAACACCCGAGCACATCAAGAACACACTTACAGAGAACCTGGTGGCCAGTTTCATGAGCAACCCCTTGAAGACGGTGGACACAGGTACTTCTAGCCATGAAAATGAGATGGTACATTTCGAGGCCATTCACTTTTCATGGTACAACCAAAGTTGTATGAGGGTAAGTCGTTTTATCCTTTCGCCGCATTGCACTACAACCTAATTTTCTAACATCTGACCAGGGCAATGACGTGCTGTTGGACATACCGCTGCGACAGCTCAGCTGGGAAGGGTGCTCAAGAACAAACTATTCTCAGATGACACCATACGTATCTGCTGACATGGAGGATCATATACCAATCTACCAGGCTATGACCTTTACTCTAGCGGATATGTTCTCATGGGTCGAAGAGAAGGTAAGTCTGTGTCACACTGAGTGTCGGCAACTACAGCTGACACATGACAATGATACTGCAACAGCTTCAAAGCATCCTGCCCCGCAAATACGACCATCTTGAAGCCACCGCCAGCCTACTCCCTGATCTTCACCACTCCCTAGTCCACCCCTTTGTTGGCTTAGTTGTCAATATGAATGTCTGCATGTACACTCACAGGGACAGCAAGGATGACATTATCTGCCTAGTCATTGTATTAGAGGATTTTGAAGGCGGCAAGCTCTGCCTGGTAGAACCACTGGTCTAGTTCTTCCTCTGCAACACAGTCATTTGGTTATCTTCCCGTTGTGTGGCATTACTCATTTCAACCTACATTACAAAGGCAGAAGGGCATCAATTGTCTTGTATACAGACAGAGAGCTAGGGTCTTGGACACAAGGCAATCGTAACGGTTGGGCATCCAATACCAATTTCATGTAGGTAGGATACCGTCAGGAAACAATATATACCGGCTGCGTTGGACACCTTTCACCATTTACCATCTAGTCTAAGTCTACCGTCTACTGACTACTGCACCATCAGGAAAAACGGATCTGTCTTGGGCGGCATTACAAGAGATATCAGTCACGTGAAAGGCCTTCAAGACGTCGTGCTGACTTGAGAGGCGTTTAAGACAAGTAAAAGACCTCAAAGACGTGGAAGCCATCAATTCCATCATGTCTGACTTGAGGCGCAGTTACTTGTAGTACAATTACCTTTGACTAATGACCAATACACTTATACGCCCTCACTTTTGCATTTTCACTCCTCACAAGTCTGATTCAATAAAGAATACTACGGTACAATACCATCATCTGTAGTGAGGCTCCTGCAACTGTATCTAGTCACACATAGCTCGTGGCCACTCACTCTGTGGATGAGTGCCTGGTGGTTGGCATGACGAGTGATTGCTCATCCATGCCGAGTCCACAGGTCCACCATGACGGCCATCTAACTTGGTCCATTGCCAACTTGATGTGGGTGCGCAGACGAGTGATTGTTTGCGTGGGTGAGCCGGTCGCTACTAGCCGGCCGAGCAGGGGGAGGGCGCACACAAGAGTGCAGGCGAGAGAACGTAGCCGAGCACGCGGGTGAGCGGGTGAGCGGGTGAGACAACGGGCAAGCTAGAAGGTGGGACAGCAAAGATGGCGCACGGAGAGACAACGGGTCAGCCGGCCCATGACTCTGCACGCGCGTCGACGTCCCTGTGTCCAGACATACTTGAGCTGGACAATGGTCAGTGCACCTCCGCCCATCGTCTAGCCTTCACTCACCTCGAGAATGCGGCTCTCGATTTCTCTGTCTGCCCGCCGTCTACTCCCCTCTCAGTCGCACCCAATCCTATCCCATTCACCACTGCTGCCTGAACGTGGGATGTCCGGCACCGTGGGCGTAGGTGAGCACCGCTACGGTCATGTCAATGCCGCCACGTACCGATCCCAGCCAATGCTGATGTACAACACACAGCCCCGCATCCCGGCGGAGACGATCTCTGCGGCGCACGGTGAGTCGGACAATGCAAGTACATACCGTGATGCAGCGCGCATGCTTCTTTCCACTGCAGACCGATCAGGATTGACAACAGGAGGATGACAGCCCATGCTGACCCGTCGATGCGCCACTGCACGGGCACTAATGACGTCGACAGGATGATCAGGCCCTCTTGAGGATCTTCGGGATGTCCTCGAAGAAGATCGACCGCTCGACCTCCTTCTTCGCACCCCATGAGATGTTGTGTGAGAACAGGTGGGCGATAATCGCCTGGCTGACGGGGATCGACAGACCGCCAAAGAAGAAGCTGCACAATACGTCAGTCCTCAGCCACGACACAATCGCTATGGACTTACAAGTATGGAATCCACATAACATTGATGAGGAAAGACTTGATCAGTGGTTCTCACCCAGAGGTACTGGAGTAGAGTGTAGCCGCCGGAGCCTATGAAGACTACCGTCGTCGCCAGCCAAATCTCGAACGGAGTGCATGTAGTAGCCGTCAACGGGAAGCTCGAAGCCGAGGCAGATGTAGTTGATGACACTGATCGTGATCGAACACGCGATACCGTAGTACGAGAACATGTACGACATCATCGAGAACTTGTAGTGCAGCGGCGCGACCAGAGGAACGAGTGGATCTCCCTCGCGATTGGGCCCTGGCGCCACACCACCGAGCTATGGGGTTGAATGGCAGTTCGTTACAGCCGTACGCGTACTTCTGCCACCGGTTCAGCTCGTCATCGCACGTCAAAGACACACCTTCCTTGAAGCCACCGAGGGAGTATGTATCGAATGATAAAACGCGCTCCTGGAGCTGCATCGCCATGTCGAAGTCCTCCGACACATTGCTCTCGGACCGGATCTTGTCCTGGCAGCACGGTCAATGAACACGGCGTCCTGGACGGCCCTCCAGTGGAGGAACACGTTGTGCCCGACGAACGGCGCGACCTCGCCGTTCGCGCACGCGTACGAGATACATTTGTTGATACGCCGGTGAAGTACGCGAAGCAGTGATGCGCGACCTGCATGATGTCCGACTCGTGCTGGATGACACCGACATCGGGCGCTCCGCATCTCGCGCGCCGCGTCCCGGAAACAGTCCTCTGGCACGATGGTGTCCGAGTTGACGATCAGGATGATCTCGCCAACACGGCACGCACGTCCCCACGTCCGTTAGCAGCCCAGGGGCGGAACTTGCGGCCGCTCGACTCGTACACCTCGTTGATGGCAATCTGCAGCACGTGCTCCCTTCCGAGTTCACCTTCTCGTCGTCCTCGCCGCCGAAGCCGACGACGCTGGCGTTACTGCCGACCCGGTGCTGGTACTGCATGCCGTAACGCTGCTCTGCCTCATGACCGAGTGAGTCGCTCTTCTGGGGGCCGCGCTCGTCTCCACAATGAGTGAGAGCCTCAAACCGTAGTTCATGTTCGAGGCTTTCTTGAACCGACCCGCACGCTGGAACCCGTCCGGCGCATCATCAAGCTTCGGCCGCGCGACCCAGCCAATGCCATGGTTGGCGTAGAATGCTATGCGTGTGTCACGCTCCTCGACCGAGAGCAACTGTCACGCAGGCATCAGCGACCCGCACAGCAAGCGTACGTCGGAACTCACCCTGAGACCATCGTCGTTGACGAGTATCATGGACGCATCACCTTGCCGGGCATACGTCTGCATCGCGGTCAACAATCGCACAGCTCATAAGCCCGAATGGGAACTCACAAGACAGTTTCCAGAGACTCCTTGTACACCGGCATCTCAATCGGCAGGCCGTTCTCCACGATCTTGTTCGGCCAGGGCTTGATGGCGGAATAGTACCTTGAGTGTTCGTGGTACTGCGCAATGGGACCGTGGGTACCAGGGACGCCGGTGTGCCCGGTGCTAGTGGAAGTATAAGTATGTGGACGGCGCGCGACCGAGCCGAAGGGCGACCGAGAGTGCGAGTGAGAGGGCGAGAGAGACAGACGGCGAGTGAGATGACGGCGAGACAGAGGGCAGACGGGCGAGAGGGACGTCAGGCAAGGACGGCAGAGTCAGAGCGAGGGCGCAAGCGAGCGGGCAGACCGATGAGGGTGTGTGGGCATGAAGGAGAGGGCATACGAATAGATTGGTTACTCAACGTTGCCTACACTCTACCTAGGCTGCGCTCCCCGCCTGCGACTTTTCGACTTCCCTGCAGTGGGACGTGCTGGCCGCCCACTGTCCCCTTTGCCCTCCGCCTTGCCTGCCCTCTGCTTCGCTTTCTCTTTCCGGGCGTCGCTCACCCGCCCACCGTCCTCCTTGTCCTTCTTGCACCGCTTGCTGGTACGAGGGACAGGGTCGTCTGCCGGAGCGGCGCGTTTTGCGACGGTAGGCTGTAAGGTGTTAGAAGATGGTCCTTTGCGAATACTCAGTACTCACCGTGACCGTGCTCGAACTGGACACCCCGTTACTACGCGCCTCATCGTCTTCGCTGTCCGACGGCACCTCAATGACGACGCGACATGCGGCACGTCACTGGACGGGGGGAGGAGGGAAGTGTGAAAAATCCATCGTGTTCTTGTATCCGCAATATACTAGACCGTCTTCTTCGAGCTTGGTGCTATGCACCTTGCTCTTATTGACGTCGGCGCGGAAGAAGCCGACGTACTGAACGTCGTCGTCAGCAGGCTGGGGGTGAGCCCCAGGCATATCTAGTGTAAGTCATGTAGAAAGCCCAGAAGCATAGAAGAAAATGGTGACGCACCGGTGTCAGAGGTTCACGTCGATGTGTGCAGGAGACAGAGGATGCGGCACTCCTCCGGTCGAGTTGAGCGTTCAGATCTAGATCTCGATCTCGATCTCGATCGCATGCATGACCTCACCTGTCACTGTCAGTGGGCCGTCAGTCAACTTTTACCACCCGTCCGTCTTCTTGTGCCCACGCATCGTTGTACAACCACACTAGTTCGGGCTCGCGCCGCGTATGTATTATTTCCAAGTAGTTCGTTCAATAAACTACGTTGCTGTGCCGCCTTGTATTTCCTTTCCACAGAAACCGTATCACCATATAGTCTGGTAAGCATACTTACTAGACCAGTTGTTCAATACGAATTTTGAGGCGCAGTCAAGAACCGTGTCTGATTTCCAGTCATCAGGAACTGAACGCTCGAGGGAATCCAATGACGATGGGCCGGGGAAGCGGGGAATTAACTGGCACGATTGGCGAATGGAACTCAAGGGTACGACGTCTCCTTGTGGTTTGCCGTTGGATGGCAGAGGAAGCTTGTTCACGTCGTACATCATGTGTACTGGGTTCGCCGTTGAACCCAGCTTCCCGTACCACTCCACGTAGGCTAAAGGCCCCTCCTGGGCCCACTCCTCCGGTGCTTCCATATCCAGGTTTGTGGTAGGATCGCGTATGGTTTTGGGAAGCTGAAAAATAACTCTCAGTCTTCCGACGCGAGTCCCTGTATTGTACAACTGTTAGTTAGGGTTCTACGGCGGTCAGAATACTAGTGAGTCCTACCTTGTAACCCTGTGGCTTCAGCCTCGTCGCCGCGCAATACGACAACGGTATCGAATCTTGCTGGCTTGTCTGCTGAAGAAGGCCTGGCCTTGACGCCATCCTTCTCTTCGGCGTTGTCGTTGAGTGGAATGTTGTTGAACTTGAAACCGTGAAAGACTTCCACTCGGCCGAATGGTAGGTGACGGTTCGCCCGGTCCTGCTCTCTAGGGCGGAGTCTGCGCTGTAGTTTCATAGTATAGACGTACTGCGAGACGGCGTCGGTGAAGCCCGGTGCCGCGTGTCGTTCCTCGATGGAAGGTAAGGATTGTCGAGCGAACGACGGATGTTTGGCTAATTTGATGCGTGTTTTGCTGCTGCGAGGGAGGTGCGTACTGCGCTCGTCGTCTTCAGAGTTTGCTGTGCCAGTCGTACTCTCCGAGGCAGACACTGCTTGTGGGTCTGCAGACTGGTCCGTAAGTCTGCCGCGTAGGGTATCGTACATAGAAACCTTCTCCCTCCTGTCGAGCCACTTGATCATCTGCGGGCGAGCATTGCGGTGGTTCGAGGCTCTCCACGCCTTCTTCGCACAATCAATGTGCAACCGCTCAAACATCTCGGTGTTGAAGTTGTCGGTCGTGCCGAGCCTGCGGATAGAATCGACGTAGTGTAGAAGGGAATGGACTTTCGGTATGTTCAGGTGCTCCCGAATGCCGAGTTCCTCCAGTATATGCTTGTTGTCGTGGAACATTTTGAGGGCGTCTTCCATGTATCCGAGGGTAGACTCGTCGTGAGTGGGGTACTGGGAAAGGTATATGAAATCGAGCAGCGAACGGAAGGTGAGCATTGCAGCCCTGGGTATACGGCCAACGAGGCATCCGAGGAGAATGCGTGCGATGTCCTTCCGCTCGCTACCGGAAACCTGAGAGAGGGTGGATATCCCGGTCTTGAAATGACGGGTGCCGTACGCCGGAGGGAGGCAGCGAATGCGACGGTCGAGTTCCTTCTCTCCGATGAGTTCGGTGGACCACTCCACTATATGCTTGAATACGCCTTGATAGAGCTGGTGAAGGATGTCAGGCGTGATGCAGGAGTGGATGTCGGTGTACGGTAGGTCCCTCCAGAAAGGTTTGATGCAGTAACCGGAGACGTTGAACTGCTTGCAAGACTTGGAGAAGGCTGTGGAGCCTCTCTCGCCTTGCTGACGAGCTTTCCGTAGCACGTCCAGGGTCCAGAGCTGGGCGCGAGGCGTCTTCGCAGACGCGTCCCCAAGGCCGCTCTCCGGGCACTGGCAGATGGGGCAAGTCCCGTACTTGGTACAACTGACCAAGCACTGCTCCGGGTAGTCCGCGACGTAAGACGCCAGGATCGGATGAACCCTGCGCACGTTTCCGTCGCCACCCGTCACGTCAATTCCCTCCTTGCCTGCGTCGACAAGAGGCTGGAGGATGGTGCGCACCGAAGCGTGGAAGAGCTGTTGGACCAACGCTCTCCGCTTGTTCTCGGTGATGCCGGCGGAGTCGACCTTATCCACGGAAAGGTACCCGATGAGTATGCAGGCGTGTTCGGAAGGCTTACGACGAAGCTCCTTGGGGATGTTGCCCAGGGTCATGTAAACAGGGTAGGCGGATTTGTTTCCAGAGAACTGCGTGAGTTGTGTCTTGTCAGTCGAGATAATGACTGGCGCAACCGCAGCGCCTGCCGGTAAGATACTCTAGAATCTTCTTCAGCACCCCGTAAGATTTATGTGTTGGTAGTGCTTACCTGGATCGCGTGCCACCATTGACCGGTCCACATCTCCGTGTAAATCCGGTTAGTGCGTGCAGAGTTTGAGAAGATACGACTGGGTCAATACACGATGTGATTCGCGTGAGCCGGGTTTCCTAACAAAGCCTTGATCGCCTCTATGATGTCACGGTATTGCACCAAATGTCGTTCGCCCGGACGATCCTTGAAGGTCAGCCAGCATTCCTTCCAGGACACCCTCTCTGGGATGGAGTCGACCTTCTGAAGCAAGGCTCGGTTGTTGTGATATGTGAGTCCGAGCCTCTCTTGCACCTGTGATGTAATTCAGTTCATCTAACCAACCCGATGGAACTGCACTTACTTCTGGTATTCGAAGAAAGCGGTCTACCGCGCCCTGCCCGATCCCTTCCTTGACGAACCACTTCGCGATCTGCCAGTCCATCTCGGACTCGAATGGGGCCCACACTGCATTGACCCGTGCTAGTACGTCTTCATCACCTAATATTGATTTGTCAGGTTAGCACTGTGCACAGTGCAGGATAAGTTGATCCTCACTGCGTCTCTGCCCGCCCAAGCTATCAAAATGCTCTCTCCACGACTCTCTAATTGTTTCCGCAGTCCCTATGACCTTTCCTGCACTCCTATCGATATCCTCCACCCTGTCGTCATCATCATCATCAAGCGAAAGGGCGGTACGTTGAGCGGGCGAGGGTGCTGATGATGTCGACGCTACGGGCTGGCTGGGATCATGTACCGGAATGAACTGGTACTGTGTGTCACGTTCATCCTCTTCCTCCCACTCTGCACTACTATCCGCGTCGCCGTCACCCGTAACAAGGTTGCCGTCAACATATACGCTGTACGTATCGTCAGAAATGATAATTCGTCTCACCCAGAAGTACGGAATATCTCACCTGTTCGCCGCGTCGCCATCCTCACTGGCAGCATCAGCCTCCTCGTCTGAGGAGTCCGATGTGTCCGTCTCCTGAAGATACGCCCTCAACTTTCCCTTTTTGTACCAGGCGCACTCTCGGCTTGTAGATTGATGAGCCATGAGCCCTTGCACGGTGTCGAACGAACCGCCGCATGCATCGCATGTCTCCGCCAGCAAGGCATACAAGTGTCTTGATCGCTTTACCATGTCTTATGAGTCTTTCAGTACGTCATTTTTTGCCAGACATGCTTCAAAAACTCACCGACCGACACTGAAGCCACAGTAAAATTCTTCAGAGTCAATGTCTCTCAGGAAGGTACTCAGAGGTTGCAGCAGGACACGACGCTCAGTTGCCACCGACCCTGCGCACCGTTACGTTACGTTTCCACGGGTACTTCCCTGCCTTGGCGGCAAGTCCGCACTGACAGCGCGAGATTGATGGCTCCCGCGGATCTGGCTGTCCGGCGCGCTTCTCACGAGACTCATGCACTCTGCGCCCAAAGTACGTACCCTTACTGGTGCTCGCTCCTTGTACCTCCCAGGTAAGTTGTTCTGTTGGTCAGTCTGCTCAATTACGGATAACATCTGTTTGATACAGGAATTGCCGTGCTACGTTGCGTGGAACTGCTGGTGCATCGTCAACTGGCGGTCCTGGTAGTATTGGCGCAGGTGAGTGCACTTACATACCTGTTCCCGTTCTGCCTACCACCGCGTTCGCTTTTCCTTGGGGACAGCCAGAGCCAGAGGACTTCCTTATCGAGGCGCGCGGCCTGGCCGCGCGCCCCGATAAGGAAACTGGGACTTAACGCACGGAGCCAACCCCGGCAACGATAATGCAACAGTCCAGCGCGGGCTCCGCCGCCCACGGTACACAGTATAGGCGGTGAATATACTGCGTACTGGCCAGGGTATTCCTGTGAGTTCTCCAGCAGCCAGAGTGTGCGTCGGACACTGTAACTGCCGTCCCGACCGTCCCGCCCAACTCCGGTCACTTGACGCATGAGCTTAACACTATACCTGCTTCCCTTCCCATGTACTATCCCCCGTGCTGCCTCGCGATTCCTTCCTCATGCCTCCCCCTCACTCTCCTAGCTTCCAGCCTCTAGGCACGTTCAGCGACCTCACCATCAACGACTGGTCCCCCTTGCCGGACAGTCCCCCCTTCAAGGACAAGCTCTCATCTGGCCTGTCCCGGACGAAGCCCACCTGGGACTTCAGGAACTTAGGTAAGTGTCGAAGTTGGCTTATCTTGTTGTACACGATAATGACCTCCTCTAGCCCCGCCGTCCTCTCCCCCCACCAGTATTGACGAGGAGGACGACATCGACACTGTGCGGCACTGGCCCTTCGCTAGACGTATCTTCGGCGACCTCTTGGACGACAGGTATTTCCCTGCGTTGTCTGACGTTCTAATAGAGGTAAGTGTTACCGTAGGCACTTCCGAGTCTCCACCCTAGACTTAGCTCATGCTTTTTAGACTCCTAATTTCGAGCCGGAAGATTGGGCACTTCTCCAGGCCAATCTGCAAGACAGGCCTCTCATTTTGCGTCATTTCTGGTATGTCCAAAATTTGCTAACCTTCGTATCACTCTCACTAAAGACCTGATAACCCAGGTTCCGTTACGATCGAGCGATGAAGCGTGTAATATCCGGTTCGGCCAGCAGCCTGCATCAACACGTCGCCACGGGTTGCGCGCAAAACATCGCGCAACAGACCATCATGCCTGTCACCCAGAAGTTTCCCGTGGATGGCATGATGGTGACGCAGAACGGCGCGAAGATGCTGGTCCAAAAGGACCACATATTGGTACCGGACTGCCTCATAGGGCTGACCGACCGTGTCAAGAACAACGTACTCAGTCTCAATCTAGACGCTGACTGCGTTCTAGTTGAGTCTGCAAGAACGGAGAGTGTTCCTCACGTTCTTGCGAAGGTGAGCACCGTCTTCAATGGATGACTAATACAATATTAACGTTCTCCCTCAGGTTACCGACTGCATGCCGGTGGACGCTACACCAGTTAGAACGGGGGTGGGACGTACGTACGTCGATGAAATGGCATCGGAGGCAGGATCGGACGAGTCGGAGGATGCGATGGAGGATGAGACGCAGACGCAGACCGAGGACGAGGACGAGACGCAGACGCAGACCGAGGACGACGACGGTATGCAGACTCTGGCAGGACAGGAGAATGAGCACACCGTATCTTCTCCCCTTACCCCTCTCCAGGACCCGTCGTCTCCTCTGTCGCCTCTCTCCCCCGGCTCAATGCCCTCTTCGACTCCCCCTCGTCTTCCTCCGCCTCTGGCGCCTCTGCCCCTGCAACCCGCCCAGGAAATCTCATCCATGGTTTTCATGGTGGTCTCCACGAAGGAGAAGGCCGTCAAGGAGCCACCGCCCGACGTGGACATCAGCAAGAAGGAATGGGTGGAGTTACCTTGCCCGGACGACAAATGCCTCACCGGGGGACATGCCTACGGTGGCAAGATTTACGTAGGGGAGATACGGGCTTACATGTGGGTGTTCCAAGGAGCCGAGGACCACGCCTACCTCGCAGAGCACTGGAAAGACGACCTTGAAGCCTGGGTGAGGAGCGGCAAGGCTCTGGTACGTACGGTTTGTGTTTCCAAGAACGACTGTGCTAACTTGACATTAGCTACTGCACCGGAAGTACGCAACTCCTGCGCAGAAGGCAGCCCTGCTGCTGTGGGAAGCACGGTGGCGGGAGTGCATGCTAACGGTGCGCGAAAAGGTTCTCCACGCCCTCATCATAGCGAAGTCCGTCCAGTCCTCGCCGGAGGAACTCGAGGAGTTCCAGAAGCTGTTCAATCCGGAGCCCGACATGACACTGCCACGCATCAAGAGCCCGGTGGGAGCGGTGCGAAAGCTTGTCAACACCGGCAGCTGGCGCTTGGCAGAGGAAAGGTATGAGAAGCAGAACCAGGCCACCACTTCGTACCATTTTGACGGCATCATCGGCTCTGTGAAGGAGGCCTTCGTAGTCGGGGCCAACCTCAAGCGGGCCCTCGACGAAGGCAATTTGGAAGCAGCCCAACGGGCTCTCAAACGGCGTCACCTCGACCACGCTATCGTTGCGAAGAAGAGCTCCTTGAGCGACTCGGAGTACTTAGCGGACGGCTCGAGCGACCCGATAGCCAGCGACCCCCTCCACGATCCTACGTTCCGTCCTGAGGCAGACGACGGCTCGTACTCGCAGGACAGCAACTACGGCGACTCGGAGTCGTCGCAGCGGGGCGACTCATCGCAGAGTACCAGCTCGTCGCAGGACGCCTCCGACTCGTCGCGGGAAGAATCCGACTCGCAGGATGAATCCGACTCGTCACAGGGCTCGTCCTTGTAGGACAGTAACCCACAGCAGGCGACTCGTCGCTGAACGGAGGTCCACTGCCAGTCGCAGGACGGGCTCGGAGGAGCGCGGAGTGTTCCTACATTCGCGTTCGCCCATAGTCTACCTTAAACTGTCGTTAACGCTATCCCCACGGTACTGTAGTTACTCGTCGCTCACACTACTCTGCTACTCGTCGCTCATGCTACTCGTCGCTCACGCTACTCACGCTACTCGTCTACTCGTCGCTATCCTCTGTCCTGTGTACTTATAACTGTTCAGCGTCCACGTACGTATCATAAAGGCAATACACGCAGATCCGCCGTATTGCACACCGCGGGAATTCCTCTGGCCGCCCAAATTAGGCAAGTCTGAGTAGTGAGGAGTTAGCGGTTGCGCCATGCTGCACTCCTGCCAGTTGTTCATGCAGATCACTCCAGAAGAACGAAGAGATCTAGAGGAGCTGTTATTACGCACCCCTAGACTCAATGAAAATCTCACGTCTCTGCTACGACGACTTCAAGACCAGCGACCCTCCCACCAGCCTGCTGAACACCCAGCTGACTGTCAGGAAAGACGGTCAAGTCTTGACAGGCTGCCTGATGTTGCGCGTGAGTTTCATGCCCGCTCTATCGTTCTCACTGAATAATAGAGTTTTACAGTGACTCAGGAGAACACGTCACAGGACACTGGCGGCGCCAAGCTTGCTCAGGCCCAGACTCGCTGCCAAAATCTAGACAGGTCGGAAGGTACGTACAGTTATTGCTCGCTAGACACAGTTCAATGATTATTCAAGTTGTAGGGGATCAAGTTCTTTCTAACGGGACTGTTTGTGGCCCTCAGCGGCACACACGATCCTCTCGTCGTGCCCGCGAGGAAGCTCACCCGTACGCCCCTCAGCTCGAGGCAAACACTGTCGTAGCAAACCGGCTTGAAAAGCCTGAGGGTCACGAACGTGCTCGAAGACTGCTACGTCAGCGACCGCAGCATCGCCTCCCACCTTGCCCCCGAGGCGGTATCCAGTTCGTCCCCATCAATTCTGCGATGGATGCCAATAACACTGCGACGGAGTCCGAGGAAGCGCAGACACAGCAGTGGGAAAACAGCTCTGAACCGGCTCTTACCACAGGGGCTGCCGTGCATAAGTACACGTCCCTCCTCACGTCAGATCTCAGCCACAGGAGGCTCCTTGACGTGTGCAGAGCGTACAGGCAAGTGTGACGGAGCTGCAGGGGGCGCCGGTTCGCCAGGACGAATCTCTGTGCTCTCTGGTAGCCAGATGCGCCTGCAGCCTGAAGCTGGATGCTGCCGCCAGCTTCTGGCTGATGATCAGTCACATAAGGCTCGCCTTTAGAGTGGCAAGGTACGTAGCTTTTCCTGCTAATATCTCCTAGTGCTAAATGGCGCGTGGCATGACTAGCATACTTGAATTAGATGACGGGAAATCTGACGACGGCAAGCTCACCGTGGCGGGAATTTGGCGGAGAGAATTTGAAGGCGTTGAGGGTGCCCCAGAGAAGAGGACATTTCAGGACTGGAACACTACCGGCGTGAAGTTCGCGCGACTCGCCGGAGGAGGTACGTCTAGCGTGCATGTTCCCAAAATATATACTGATCTCAAAATTCACGTCCAGGCTCTATCTATCTTCTGGTGCTAGTAGCAGCCCAGAATCTCTGAGTACCTCTGGCTACCGCCAACGCACACATAGCACAAGACTTCGGTAATCTCCTGAGGTGGCCGGACGGTAGGCTGATTTTCTTATTGATATCTAACTGTTCTAAGCCGACTCAGATTCAAGAACGGACGGCTCGTCAAAGATGTCATAATCCCCGCAGTAGCTCGTCTGCGAGAACTGTGCCCGATTCGTCTTGACTGTATCCTGCCGGCAGCTCCCCAACATGGAGTGTCAAGATTGCATTTTCCGCCTGATCTGTGCGGCCATCTTGACGCGTCTGACAGCGTATTTGAATCCTGGAAATTGAAGTGAGTGTTGAGTTCGATATTGCCCCCACGTTATGGCACACTAATCGTTTATAGCTCCTTTTCTCTGGTGCCACGAAACAGAGACGTCTGGATATCGTGCTACGATGAGTGCGACACCAGCAACGCATTCACAAATGCTTTGATCAACGAACTAGGGCCGTTATCACCTCTGACGCCGATTGACTCTCCCGTCCCTCCAGAGTTCGACTTACCAGATGATGTCGTCATTTCCTCCCCGCTCAGGTCATCCCCTGTCCCGCCACACGAGGAAGTAGTGATTCGCCTCCAGTACGACGAGCAGCAGGAGGATAACCAGCGCTATCCGGGACCACGCGGTGACAGAGACAAGAACATTGTCTGGACCGAGCAAGCCCGTCAACATGCGTCCAACTCCGCTAGGCCTGCAACCCTGGAGGGTCTCCAGAGTGAGGTACGAGGCGAATAACTTCTCAATTGTGAAGTTAAACTTTACCTTTACAGCTTGACGGTTTGTACTCTGAAGGAAAGCGAATCAGGGACGACTCGTACGTGCGAGTACCCCTAGAACTTGTAAGGTCAGTAGTACTCGTATTGTCGTATCTACCTCCGACCATGCTGCAATTACTCACGACATATGACACACAGAGACGTGCTGACATTCAGAGGCGCAACAACAGTCTCGTAGCGTCGGTCTGCACCTCGATGTCGGAAGCTATGGCAGCCGATCTGACGGAGCGGCTGGTCGTGTGCTTCGATACCGATCCTTTGAATGACGTGGACACTGTGACGCAAACACAGCACGAGTTCCAAGCCATTCATTTCTCGTGGTACAACCGCCACGCCACGAAGGTCTGGAATACTCGTGATGTGTTTGACCTTGACCTCAACTGACATTGCCGTCTGTACAGGGTCATGACGCGCCTTCAGACGTACCGCCACAAATGATGAGCAAGTCAGGACGGTCGAGGACCAACTACCGTCAAATGATACCGTATCCGTCCAAGGATATGGCGGTCCATGAGCCCATCTATCAGGCAATGGAGCGTATCCTCGGCGACGTGTTCAGCTGGATGGACACCAAGGTAAGCTCAATTTCAGTACAGTACGATACTATTATTGTGAATGTGCTAATATTGTCTGAGTAGGTCAGACGATCCTTCCAGGTGTATACCGTCATCTCGAGGCAACGGCCAGCATCCTCCCTAACCACCAGCAGTCGCTGGTCAACCCGTTTGTGGGTTTGGTCATCAACATCAACGTCGCAACCTACGCCCACAGAGACAGCAAGGATGACACTGTCTGTGTCGTCCTTGCTGTTGGTAATTTCGAGGGCGGCAGTTGTGCCTGCACGAAGCAGGCCTCGTCATACCGCTGCGTCACGGCCATTTTATTATTTTTCCTTCGTGCAAACTCACGCACTTCAATCTACATTACAAGGGACGCGGGCCTCAATCGTGCTACATACGGACAAGGAGATGTTACGTTGGGCAGAGAGCGATAGGAACGGCTGGGCCTCCAATACTTATTTCCACTAATCTAACACTAATGACTTGGAGTGGCTAAACGACGTGTACGGTCCCTAGAATCTGATGCATTCTGTTCAGTTAAAGACATGCTGGTCTTGTGGTGATTGATTCGAGTAGGCGTCCGACGTTTTATTCCCGTGACCTTCGTGCGGAACGCGGAATAGCTTTCCGCAACTCAGCGCCAGTTTGTTCCGCGCCGTGTCGTGACTTCACGACTTTCACTTTCCCTACTACCTCTATTCTCTGTGCTGGCTACCTCTCTGATCTCCGACTAGGGCTGGCACCATGTCTCCACGCACTCGCTCCACCGCTAAGAAGCTCACCGCTCAGCCGAGCACGAAGGCGTCGGGATCTCGAGCTCGAAAGAGCAACAAGTCAGCCAAGCAGCAAGAATCCAGCAAGGCGTCGGGTGGCGAGGCACCTCTGTCTGCCAAGGAGCAGAAGCAACTCCAGGCGCTGCTCAAGAGACAGTCCGTTCAGAAGCAGGACAAGGAAGAGGAACGTCAGGCTGGTGAGTACGGTCCGCACAGCTCTCAAAAACATCACCTGAACACATCCTTATTCCGACTCAGGGGTGCGCAAGAGGGCGGCGACTATGACTCGCGAGGAAGTTCAAGGATCAGACGCTGAAGGTGAGGAGCCGTCCCGTAAGAAAGCAAGACACACTACGGATTCCGATGGCGAGGGCGGTGGCGACGCGGGTTCCGATGGCGAGGGCGGGGGCGATGAAGGAAGCGAGCCAGACGGTGGTAGCGAGCGGGACATACGAATGGAGAGCCCTTCTCCCCCTGCTCGGTGTACGTGCAAATTCATTAGTTCAGACGGTCCGACACTGACATATCAATCGAGCTAAACCGAAGCCAGCTTACGGGCGGTACAAGAAGGCCGAGCAGGACTCAGGGAAGGGAAACACATCGTTGACTGAGGCGGAGCAGCGTATCGCACAGACTCTCGGCGGTACGTTACATTGTAAACTACAGGTTCAGATCACGGCTAATGTCTTTTTGTATGCTTTAGCGAAGGGCAAGGCTAAAGACAAGCCTCCGTCCAAGAAGTCGGTGGTAGTCGAGAGCCCGCGGGAGGTTTCTGAAGAGGAACATGCGTCCGTTCGCTCGGGATCGGAAGAGGAGGATAGGACGAGGCGAGGGGAGATGGACAAGCAGAGCGAGAAGAGGAAGGATGTGCGTGGCGGGAAGAAGGCCTACGTGGAGATCAGGGTAGACAAGGTGAGTATCATATGTTCTGCGAACTTGACAGCCTGACATGTTCGTCAGTCCCCGTCACAGAAAAAGAAGGCAGCAAAGAGCAAGACGGTCGTCTCCAGTTCGGACGAAGACCAAGACGACGATAAGGTCGATGAGCTCGAATCTTCGGACGATGACAGGAGCTCCGGGATCCGGATGAAGGGCGCGGGCGGTGACGACTCGGACGCCCAGATCATGCGTCCACTCAGACGATGTCATGGTAAGTGTTGCTTGCATTTGATGTGGTGCGGTACTACTAATACAGTACGTAGGAGATTGCTCAGAAGGGAGCGAAGAAGAAGCCCAGAGGCAAGGGCTCAGTAGCGGTTCGTGTGCGCGTCAGGTCCTCAGACCTGCCCATCTATGTCCGTCCCATTGTCGCCGCTGCTCAGAGCTTCCTCCGCCTTCGTCTCGCACTCGAGACGGCATGGACCAGCTACAAAGCCGCGCCCAGTTCCCGGCTGCAGGACAACATGGGCCTCGTTGTCCTCGCCCTGAAGGACGCTCGTGATATGCGTGACAAGGACGGTAAAAGGGTGAAGACTATGAGGACCGCATACACCGATCTGAAGGAAGCGAAGGGAAAGGAGGGAGACGTTACGAGGAGAAACGTACACACAGTGGTAAGTGATGGACATTGGTGTGAACATTATGACTTGCCTTCATTCTCAGCAGATCTGGAACGTGGCGGCTCAGTTCCGGAACGAGGTAAAGAAGAAAGGCAAGAGCGTGGTAGAACACTCGTACGGGCTGAGCAACCTGACGGTCACGCAACGCGTATTGCTCGCCCAGTGGCTCCTCAAAACTCACCCGATGAAGGTCAAGGGCGGCAAGCGCGAGATCCCGAACTTCGTGTTCGGTGACATGAAGATTGCCTGGAACGCCAAGGATAAACTGGACAAGGAGGTACGTACTGTCTGGCTAGACGTGTTTGCGGCGCGTTGTTGCGTCAAGACACTGCTAATCTTGACGGCTAGAAATGCTCTGTCAAGTCAGAGCTTCTGTTCAGGCATCCGGCGATCTCTGAGATCATCGTGCAGCAGTGGTTCCCGGGTCAAGGTGCCAGCATGGCCGTTGACCGCTTCAGCGAGGTCCCAGATAACCTCATTGCGTTGGTCTGCAACTCGGTGAGTCTTGGACGTATCGCAGGTCTTCTCAATATTGAAATCTTGCTTCAGATCGAAGCAGCGTTGAGCGAGATAGCGTTCGGGAACCCCGTCGCGTTCACGAACAAGCATTTCGTACCAAAGTAAGTAGTTCTCCGCACCTCTACGCAACGTTGACTGTTGAATTTTCACTAGGTGGGACGATCTCATGTCCATCCTCGAAGCTACGAAGAGAAATGCGCCCGACTACTACGCTGACATGAAGAAGCAGTTGTGGAGTCGCGTCAGGTAAGTGCGCATTCGAGACCTAAGCTACATACTGAATTAACTCTGGCAGCGCCCGAATTGAGGGCGATGATCAGGAAGATTCCGACCAGGACGACGGTGAGGACTTCGTGAAGTGGAACAAGCTTCAGGATATGGTGCTCGACGCACCCACCGCCCAGTCATCGTCTAACGCAGGCCGGGTGTCCTCGAGTACCGCCGCCAAGCCCTGTCTAGTGGCAAGCCTACATCGTCCGGTACTACGAAGCCCTCCTCTAGCGGCAAACCGTCGTCGTCGAAAGGGAGAACTAATGAGGCACAGTGTAAGCAGACAGGAACATTGTAGTACGGCAATCACTGACCTGAATCGGTGGTACAGCGCGTACGGATGCCGACGCTCCAGCGTCGTCCTCGAGCAAGAGGGCCCGCACGATGAGGAAGAAGTCGATGCAGACGAACTTGAACGTGAGGGTATGTACACACCTGGTTGCTCTCGCGGCCCCTACAGCTGACGCGGCCCAGGTGACGAACCTGTTCCGGAACCCGATGCCGCCGACACCTGATCGCCTCTGCTCGCCGTCTTCGCTGTCTCTACTCCAAGGGTATGAGAGCCATTTTCACTGCTGAAGTACACGTCTGAAGGCATTTTAGATCACTCATTACTACCACCATACCCACATCCTAGTCCTTGGAGGTAAGAATGACCTATTTTTGTTGTTGCATTCACTCGTTCTCGTCGCTGTACCGTCTGTACTTGTACCACTATACGTTGTTCTGGAGCCTGTTGTGTTCTGCTGTATGTAGATTGTCTGTTGTTGTACCAACTGTAGGAGCGTGCACGAATACGATTTTATTGCAGTCCCCGCATGGATGAAAAAATTAAGGATTGCTTGAACAAATTATGTACTTGGTGGAGAGCCACACAGTAAAGGATACTTGAACACAAGTAAATAAGACATTTGTGCATGGAGCTTGAGAGACTTGGTAAAGACATTCAAGCCGGTTCCATGGGGCACCTGGGCAGCGGGTCAGACATACTTTTAGTCTCTCACACAAGTAATAAAAGGCATTGGTAGAGCTTGTATACCTCGTACAAGTAAACCAAGAATTTGACTTGTCTTTGTACCTCTGTTGCCTTTGTATGTCTTGAAAGTCTCACAAGTTATATTTGTTTTTCCTGATGACGCTGCGTGACGTGCTCATCCCTTCGCTCTACCCATCTACCTGTCTACTGTCTTACCATCTACCATCTACCGTCTACCATCTACCGTCTACTGACTACTGCCCACTGCACAACATGCCTGACCCTTTGCTAGTCGTTCTTAATGGTCACGCGGCAGGTGACCATCGGGCACACGGTCAGCGCTAGAGCACCTACGGAGCTCAACCGGTACCACCGCCACCCCTCGACCGCGACCATTTTGTGTCCCTCTCGCTCGCCTTTCCCAAACTTTGGTAATTTCTCCTTCAGTTACCTCCTTCATGCTCTCTACTACTCTGGCCACATTGCAAGCACTTTTTGCGACTATAGCGACTACAAAAGCCATTGCAAGGACAACACTCAGGAAGCTCAGCCCTCGGTCCTGACCTAGACACACGACTGTGCTGCCTCCCAATCGCTCGACTGGCCAATACTTAGGTAAGCTGTTCTTCTCCTGTGTTCTAACCTATCATCTGTCTAGTCAAATGCTTTGTGGACACACATTTGAAGGACCTGTGGGGATATACCCAAACCCCTCAGCTGCAGCATCCCCGCATATCCACAGTCTCACCATGTAAGTCTTTCAGCTGAGCACAAACTGTCTCTACCATGACTCGTGTTCTGTCAGCTTGCACACCGTTGTGGGCCTAATACAGACAGGCAGTGTAGCACTATAAGCCAAGCTTGAAGTCTTCTGTCGCCCAGAGGGTTGTAAGTCGTCCATTTGTATGTGCCTGCTCAGAGAGGTGTGCGTCGTCGCTGGTTCCACGCTGATGCGCGCTCTGTCCTCAGCAACGGCTATGTTCAATCAAGCATCCATATTCCCTCCGCATGCCTAAAGATGTTCCACCCGACGCTCGCCAGTCCTGCATCGCTTCCCCTGGGGTCTCGCTATTCCACTCTTGAACTCCCCCTTACTCAGCTTCAGGCTCGCACCCCGGTTCGTCTCGCTGTGCGTGTGTACGCGTCTTAGGCTGCCCTTCGTGCATCATTGCCACGGCTGCTAAAAAACCTTTTGGCCGGCTGACTTCAACCAGGTTTACGTGCAAAAATGTCTCGCTACAGCCACCCTGCATGCACCGTCCTGCTCTCTGAGTCTCCTGCCCGGCACGTCCGTCCTCTTCTGGCTTATGTGCTAGTGTTCTTGCTTGATTGTGTGGTCTCGCTCCCTCTCGTGTCTTGCCATGACCCGTGTGTTCATCAGCTAACTCGAGCTCCCCGGTACTCAGCTGCAAGCTCGCGAGCGGGGTTGTGTCACTGTGCGCCCGTCCAGGACCTTCCACCACCAAAGCTCCCCGGGGTATCACAGTCTGCTACGTCTACAAGAGCCCTGGTTGGCTTGCTGACCTCCACCATGTTCACCTGCGAAGGCTTGACTTCGTGATTGCTGTACTGCATGCAGTGCACGAGCACTGCTCCGTAGGGTCATTAGGTGGGTTAAGCCAAGTCGAGTTGGGATGTCGATGTATATAACTTTGTACCCAGAACACCAATGTCTATATGTATAGATGTTCGCCAAGCGGTGTCTCGCACCGCATCCCAGGTGCGTCCACTGTTGGTGTGAGCACGTCAGGCCATACCGTGGTGGTGACTGGCTGAACACGCGCGCGGAGAGGCGATGGGTACGGGGTTCGCGAACGGTGCCCGTAATCATTCATTATGCCGGGTACCATACATACACCTAATACGACTCTACCTTTCCGCACTCATGTCTTCTAAGACATGTGCAACTTTACTTTTACGTCTTGAAAGCCTGATGTCCTGCGTGGTGGGAAATTGAAGCCTACGTTATCAACAATCACTGTGGGAATATCTGCGGTCCCTGTCTCGCAACTTGAACACTCCCTTTGCTGCTACTACGACCTCTCTTGACCGTTCCACAACACCTACTACTACAATGACCCACCTCCTACCATGTTGTCTTCTGGCATCACGAGATCAAATACAAAGTCAGCCAAGCAGGAAACAGCGACATCCAAGAGACCTCCGAAGGCCGGTAATTCCAAGAGCAATGCAAGAAAAGCAGATACTGAGGGTAACAAAGGAGCGACTTGGAACACTGCTGAAGAGAAGGAGTACAGAACATGTTGAAGCGGAAGAAGCAAGTGTTACAGCAATGGGAGAGCAATCACCAGGGCAGTGAGGGCCTGAAGAAATACAAGATGTGCAAGTATTGACCTATTCTGAGAGGTGCGTAAGAAGGCCTTGGCCATGCTCCAGGAAGAAGGGCAATCCGAGGACAAGGAGACACAACCACGCAAGAAAGCGAAGAACACATCAGGCTCTGGTCACCCTGCGAGCGGAGAGGAAGCTGATGAGCAGACAGAGCAGGAGGACGAGAGCGTGATGAGGCGGTACAATCTGAGAGCCCCAGGGCCAAGCATCGCCGTAAGTACTCAGTTGCGACCAGACAAAACCACAGGATCTACTAACAGTACGTGACTCTTACCTAGCCCAGCCAAAACCTGCCTACAAGCAGGCAAACTGCAAACTTTGTGGTTACGATCCCTGAGGTACAAAGGTATCATTCTTATGATGGACGGGCCTGAAACACTTCCAGTGGCACCCGATGCGGCAGTTTTTTCCCACAGGTACAGTCATTTGCCCCCAGCTTACCATGTATAGTTAACATTTGTTATGGTCAGTTAGCGGAGTTCAAAATTTTCAGACTCCCAGACGACGTGACTTGCACTAACACCACCAAACAAATGCTGTGGCTCAGTGCTTTGTCCTGGGGTGAGGGCCCAAGAAATGCTTCGAGTGGCACCCAATATGGCAACTGGTGAGCATGTCATGTGACTGGCAGCCAGGCAGCTCACTGCTAGTGCTCACACTTATATACTGCCCCATAGCCCTAGTTAGTAACAATTTTGAATGGACTTAGTATACTGATCTGATAGCCCTTCATTCAGAGAGTATACACTATCATTATTGAGTAGCTAGAGTGGCTGGCTGGTCCAGAAAATGCAAAATAAAAAGATCCACATGTGCCTCTGCAGATGTCAAAGTGCCTATTTGTGCCTCAGATGTGTTCCATATGTCTGTGATGACATACATATGTGATTCAGACACTGTACAACTCAGTGGGTGCTGCACTACAGCCAAAATCAGCCACAATGAGCCATTTGACCCTGTTTTCACATGTTGTAGTCCATGTACATGGTGTAGTGATGTCTAGAATAATCCCAAGCACTCACATTCTCCTATTGGGTGCTTCTGTATATTTGACAGATTTTCTGCATTTTTGTGAGCTCCATGGGCACCACATCTTGTCCTACTTCCTCTTTGGGCAGGACACCTACTCTATATGGTAGTTGTGGTGTGTAACTGGCATATAGACACATAGACACAATCTGGGGATATATAATGGCCATCGATACATATGTGTTCATGCTACTATGACGTCAGGCTTTGTATGCTGCAGAGACACTGTCTGAAGTGTGATCATAGGCTTATATGAGCTCACTGAATGTGAATCTCACCGTGTTATTGAGTATACTGCCCTAGTTGATGCAACAATTGTATCATGGAAGGCTATAAGGATTTGACCTCATTCATTCTGAATATTCCGCTTTTTCAAGTCTATACAAGCCCTCTTGAACACAGTAACAGTCTGCACTTACACTGCTTACTAAGTTCTCATTAAGCGCCCGTTGCCGAAGCAGACTTGTATACAACTGCAGCCCTGCATTTGTCGGCAACTGAGCTCACCCAAAAGGGATTTTGGAGCAATGTCATTGGTTGAACCACTGGCAAACCTTGCCTTCTAAGGGAATCATTCAATCTCAGCTCCCCATGCCGAGTTTTTTGATGGCTTGCCCAATGTGGTCAGCAGCACTGTCTAGACTCTTACTAGAGCACATTAAATGTGGAGAAATCTCGGAATATTGACTCTCATGCAATGCTCCTTGCACACATTTATGGAGGTCCAAATTAGGTATCCCAGTGCTTGTTCACAGTGTACTGACCAATGCAAGTGATGCAGAGTACAAATGTTGTTTTGCATTTACTGCCCTTACTGGAGAGTCCTACAGGCTGACAATCTTATGCAGGGGTCTATGGCTACCAGATATGAAAAATCACCATATATGGTAGATCCCTTGCCTGTTTGGGAAGTTGATGATAGATCACCTTTACAGTGTTGCATAAATGGCCGGAAAATGAGCAGAATATTAGATAACACTATTGTCCCATTGTGGGTTGATAGGACTTATGTGTGATGCTGAGTACTTGTGGATGAGATGGAAAGGGATAGCAGAAACACAGATTCTGGTGCAATAGGCTCAGCCACATGCCATGTGAGGTTCACTCGTCCACAGGTCAAAATTGTGACCTGTGGACGAGTCATCTTGCAGTGTAGTCTCCCAGACTCCACTGAAATATGCTGTTTAAGGGAATTAGCCTCTGACTGGCCTTACTGTATTTGGCCAAAGACTCTCAAGTCCATGTATCTGCTGTACTGTAGCCTTCACAAATACAACAAA